CTGTAAATTTAATTAAAAATCCTATGAAGATAATCAAAACTTCAGTCCAAACAATTATCTAGTTGAAATATACTTGATAGAAATGAATATCTATTTATAAGGAGGCAATATATCAAAATTGTAGAATTTTTTTGAGTAAGCAAAATTTAATAGATTTAACTGAAATTTGAGCAAAAAGAATTAAAAACCAAAAATCGGGTTGGTTTTCATATTATTAAAATTAATTTGCTGAAGATATTATAACATAAATAGCCTGAATGAAAAACTGTATGACATACTTTTTTTTATAACAGATATTGTTTGACTAGCAGTTATTAGCAGTTATTAGGCGTCTAAAGTGTTGCGTGTTTTCTTTCCCGCAAAAAGTGTTCAAATTTTTCGACTCATAGATGTCTTTAACACGAGCATAAAAATTTAACATATAAACAAATTTTGTTTTCCATGGTACAAAAACTTTGTATTTTTCGTGTAAGACTTTGTAAAAGCATAGTATTACATGCAGATGTCTAAAAATCAATTGATAGATGAGATCTAATTTCATGTATGGAAAAATACTTATCATAGATTTGCCTAAAGTTCAACTCGTGTATGGAACTTTTTAATTACAATATTTGCCACGTGTTTTACTATATGTAATGCAAAGTTTATTGTGAAAACTAATGCTCGGGGCAGATTTTACCCTAGGGGGAGATTTTACTTTTAAAGCTAGAAAAAAATTAAATCGGGCTCAAAATAGTTCAAAGCCTTTCAAGTTTGTCTTCTTTTTCATCCAGTGTTGGCAGATTCATTAAAATAGAGCTAATGCATGTCTCGCTTTCCATTAAGCTTAGGTTGCCTCAAAGCTACTTATTTCAAACATACAAATGGTATGATAGCAAAACAAAGTGGCCTAGCCAAAATAAAGCAATTGGCAGACTTGAAAAGATCTTTGGCGACACTTTAGAGAACCATCCACTTAGAGTTTGGGGAAAAAATTTGTTTTTATCTAATCGAATCAAAATGGTAGAAAGATCCATTTAAATTTGGCATAATTATCCAAAATGTCACCGAGAATCATTCAAAAAATCCAGAAGTGGATTCACGAATTCGACCCCTGCTTGCAATGAACAAGTCTTTCTAGCGTTTCGACTTTGCAGGGTAAATCAAAAATCAATTAAAATTGAGGCAAACGCACCATGCATAGGAAAGTGGGAACAAGATTCTTCGTATTAGTGTGATATAAAACGTGTCTCAAGCGGTTTTTGACTTCGAAAAAAGATTTTTTTTTTTCAAAACGATTTCATAAAATCTATGTACAAAGGAATAAATTTGGCCTAGCGTTACTTTTCGCTTTGTTTTACTGACGAAAAACGCCAATCGATCTATTGGTTTGCTTTAAATAAGGTTAAGAGAAAGCTGGATATCATACGTGGTATTTCTTATATCAAAATGGGCAAAACTTTATTTGAATGGGCTAATTTCAACCCCAAAATAATTTTACGAAAAATGATTGCAATACGCTGTCAGACAAAAAGCCAAGAAATTCCAAAAAAAACAAAGCGAGAACAAATCTCCACCATTATTATTGAGCACCCATGTGTTGATATAGACTTGCCGATAAATCGACGTTTGAACTGCAAAAGTTTCAAAGTTTCACAAGTTTTATTGAAGTGCAAAGAACTTAAATGTCAACTAAATTAGGTTTGCATAGAAGATACGAAAATGCTGCAGCAACTAATTTGCTTTTAAGAATTGAATCCGCATCAAAAACAGTAATGAGAATAGTCTTAACAATGATTGAATTTTAATAGAATGTGCATAATATGCACAACAAGTAACTCCTCATGTTGATTTTTGATGGGTTTTTTAATCATTTCAAATCAAAAAAGTCTCGTTCTTCTCCAAAAGCAACTTTCGCGAAGACCAAAGATGGCAAACAATTAATTAAACTCAAACCTATTATGTCAAATGAGGCGATACTTGTCGTTTTTTGTTAAAATTGCCAATTTGCAAAACTGTTTTAATCAGCGAGGTGCCTCATAATTCGGGAAAACCGACGGGTGGATTCACAAAAAAAATTAAAGCCTCAAAAGTATTCCATAACAACCTTAATAACTTAATCATAATAAAATGTTTTCGTTTAGAGAGCGCATCCGAATAATGGAATGGATGCGAGTGCAAGCCACCGAGTCAGAGTTGGCCGAGAGCCGATTTTCAGTCGGAACAATCGCCTCCAGCTGCTGCACATATTCTCTTTTATTCTTTGCTGTAATACTTGCCTCTTTTTCAATCATCATTGCTGCCGAAGGTGATCCAAAACTGGTCACTTTCACCCAGAGTCTGGCTATACTGTTTCTTCTTCTGAGCATGATGTTTGGGTTTCTCTTGTGCCTGGCCGGAGCTAAGAACTACAGAACCGAGGCGATAGCTCTCCTCAAGTATGCTTCCTTAATAACAGTGACTCAAAAAGTAATACGGAGGAAATACCACAAACACAAACAAGGGAATGAAGCCCAAATCACGGAGGCTGCCGACGATTCCTCGGGATCCGGATCCATAGACGTTCCTCCAAACTCCTATGATTCGCCGGGTTCCAATGATTCGCGAGACTCCAACGAGTCTCCGGGGTCCAATGATTCTCCGAATACAGACGAGACACGAGGCTCTAAACAGTCATCAGAATCAGGGTTTTATCAGAGGTCACAAAGCTGTTCATCGGGAGGCTCGGGGTCAAAAGGTCACAAGAGTAGTGGTGGCGAAGGAAGTACTGAAGATAGCAATGAGAGTCTAAGAAGCGCTATGATGTATGACAGTAATGAGTCAAGACTGAAAATGAGCAGTGGACAACACTCGCGCAAAAGCTCAAGTTCGAATGGTGATAACTCTTCTAATCTTGCACTGAAATCATGCGGCGAACATTGTAACAGCAAGTCGACGGGTAGTAAGTCGACAGCTGATATTGCCGATTACCATGAGGACGAAGCGACAAGGTGTTTAGTCACCCAAAATTCAAGAGAGACTGAGATTGAAATTAGCCCTCCTAGACGAAAGAGAAAGTTGCCGGCCATTCAAATGAAATTGAAATTTCGACCTTTTTACAACGGATGAGCTTTATCTGTTTCAGTGTACACTTGAATCACAAATGCTAAATGTATTTTAATGACTTATCTGTTCTATTTTATATCAAAACCGTTAATGAAAAAAATATATTTTATACATTGTAAAAATCTCAAAAAGATTTACATGGTTAAAATTCTAGATTATAATTGGCGTCCACAGCTGGCTGTGCTGCACCTGATTTAGTCTTTATTTTTCTAAATAGAAAATTATTGTAGTAATTCAATTCAGAATTCAAATTCAAAACTCCGTTTGTTTTCTCAAAACCAGGCTGAGGAGCAACCTCTGGAGGGACGTGGAGTTTCTCTTCCGACCGGCAAAAGTCCGGAGAAACTTTGAATTTAGCAGCTTTTTTCACAAAAAAAGAGTTGCCACAAATAAACGTCGGAAGAAATTGAAAGATATTTCATAATGACGTCCGTTCATTCGAGATTTGAAGTTTACATTTCTTGTCAAATTTGAAAAAAGAAAAAACGATGAAACTGGGTTACTCTTCACGATCTAGATAACACTAGTTTTGTTATAAAGTTTAGTTTCAACATTAGTTGATAGAGCTCTGTGACTTTTCTGAGTTTTAATGTCGCGACCTCTGGCCTTACCAGAAAAAGAAAACCAAAGTTTAAAATAATTTTAAAATACTGAAATACTCTTTTTGCAAGTAAATATGTTTTGGAAAGCTACACTTTTTGCCTTGAAAAATCATAATCATAAAGCAAAGACAAAAATTTTTGAAAAAAAAATTATGATATTATCAATGGCTTTATGTTTCCGCATTAATAACTTGATCAAACATTTTGAGTTACTTGCACACCACAGCCCTGATTATTGGTTCATAAAATATATTGTCCCGACTTAAATGTGGAGATAATATCTGTATTCGGGTGTTTTTTTTATTTACACATATATACTACTGAAGATATTTTGGTCTTTTTGTTCGAAAGTTTCAATCAGAGGCAAAGCGGAAATTTGCATCATTGCGATACAAAAATGAATTACTATGATTGCCAGCAAATGAATAGACAAATCGCAAATTGAAAAAAAAAACCTTAGAAAAGTTTTTTGTTTTGTCAAAAAAAAATTATAAAAACTGCAAAAAAGAACGAAAAGTTCCTGGAATAAAATTAACTGCACCATTAGAAATTTAACAAAAAGTTTTCAAAATGCTAAAAAGAAACCGAATCTTTCTGCAGTACTTAGGCTAACAAAAATTAGCACACACGAAATTTTATAAACGGGTTTGAAAACTCTGTGTGTTGAGAAAAACCGAGTTAGAGATACGAGTAGCTTTTCGATTGATTCAATTTGAGGTCCTCAACTTTTAAAATCTGAAGTCAAGCTACTCGGCAAATCCCACGCTAATCCGCTCAAAACAGTGCAATTTTAATTCAATTCAACTTCGAACAAGGTGCCGCATAACACTTGATTTGCCCCAAAAATTTAGTTTCAAACATAATTCAAAAAATAAATGAGGATTTACTTAGCAATTCCCCCCCCCACCCCTTGGTATCTACCCCTAATAAAAGCAGTAAATTAGCACTGAGCTTTCTATAGAGACTTAGAATTTTGCTGCATTCTGATTGGTCAAAAATGCGTTACTTTAACCTACTTAACAATTGCCCCCTTTCTTAAAAGGGGGGGGGGCAATTGTTGAGTAGATCCATAAATGACAATTCTTGGCCTTTTTTAATAAATCACTTGTAGTTTTGACTTCCAGTGCTCCACTTTGTTACGCAGAACTAACTTATCAAAACGAATTAACATTTTTACAAAGTCAATTCAGAGGTCAAAAAAGCCGATGACTTATATAGAAAACAAAGTGTGAAAAAAACCACAAAAATCAAATTAAATATTAAAATTAGCCACTTAATTTTTTAATCAGTGTAATCAAAGTTAGTTAGTGTAAAATGTGCTGCAATAAGGCGTGTTCGATTTGTTTTCTGGTTATTGTAAACATAATAGTCTTGGTCGTCAATGTCGCAATCATAGCTGTCCTTATATGGGCAGAGGCCAAGTGGGACTTTTCCTACTACATGGACAAAGTGGGCTTCAAACAGTCGCAGATCATCTATTACGTAATCTATGGTGTGATTGGTGGAATTGCTGTGGTAGCTGCACTTGGATTGGTTGCCTGTTGCTGCAGCAAGAAGATTCTGATGACCATCTACGCTATTCTGGTCATCATATTCCTAATAGGTAAAATGAATTAGAAGAAAGTTCAGCTAAGTTTACTCCGTGCTGTTCTGGCCTTCGGTCAAGTCCACCGCCGCCAAAGTCCAATGCCGCTCAAAACTGTCCCAATTGCAATAAATTTCAGAACTTAGGATGCTTTCTTTAAGTCATGATTGTCTTTTTGTTACCAAAAAAAAATATGACCCAAAAACATTGGACAAAGTTGAAAGATGAATCATAATAAAGGCCACTCGTTCGTGACTGGACCTGCTCAAAAATTTGAGAAATTTCTAATTTAAATTTTAGCTTTTTCAAAAATTTGAGAAAATAATCAATGAAACTGAGTTTGTCCTCACGCGCTGGCCAACTGAGTACGCTGACCCGAATTAGAAAAAATTGAAGATTTTTAGATGATTTTTTTATGTCAAGAGTCTTTTTTCTCAAAAAAAAACAGATGCAACAAAAAACAACGGACACGATTGAGTGGACTGTCATAATAAAGTATCATGAATGATGTATCATAAATGATGCATCGTAATTTCAATGTTGCGCAGATCAAGTCAATCGTGACATGACCAGCACTAAATTTCGAGAAGTTTCAAATTTAAGTTTTAACTTTTTTGACAAACTAAAGAAATGGAGTTTCACCTAACGGGCTGACCAACTGAGTAAAGGACTAACTTTGTTATAAAAAAAATTGGATGCCCAAAGTAGAATAAACTTAAGAATTTTGGATATTTTTTTAAAATCAGGAGTGTCTTTTGTTCAAAAAAAACAGATACCACAAAGAAACATCCATAAAGAAACATCACAAAGATACCACCCAGAAAAACTAAACGAAATTTTATATCAGTTCAGATGAATGTAGTAACTTTTATCATAGTTAGCCCACATTTGTCTATACTAATATTTTTTTGTATCTGCCAAAAAGTGATATAAAACCAGGGGCAGATCTAGGATTTTCTCGAGGGGTGGGGGGGGGGCGGATTTTCAAAAAAATTTTAAAGTTTCGACGACCTTTTTTTTAGGTCGACCAAATTGATTTTCCGAGCTCTCCTAAAGCAGTAAAAAGACGGTTTTTGGCCAATTTTTTTGCGCCGCAGGCAAATTTTTGAAAAAACAGGTCAAAAAAGCATTTTTGGGCACTTTTGGAAAATTTTGACAAAAAAATTGCGTTTTTTTGGCGCGCGCTCCCCCTTAAAGTTAGTATATATTGGCGCCCGCGCCTTTAGAAAAATTTTAGGGTCGGTCGGCCAAAAATGGATTTCTTGAAAAGTACCAAAGGATGGGCCCTTTGGGTCGGCAGGGTGTCGAATTCCTGAGGGGGGGGGGGACACAAAAACGCAATTTTGACAAAAAATCATAAATTGATGTACTTACTGGTATAATCCATAGTGGAACTTACTGGTATAAGGTTATAATATTCCAAGCTTTAATATGGAAAACGTTTTCATGGCGATATCTATTCGGTCGAGCGTTTTTAATTGTGGTCCTTACCGTTTACTTGTTTTTTTTTCGGCCCAGCTGCTTTATTATAGAGATACTGAAAAAGTTCACAAAACGTATATGGTTGCGTTACTTTTTTCAATTTGAAAAAAATTCAATTTCATTTATACCGAAAACACACGGTCCAACCGGAACCCGATCCCCATATCTGAGGGTGTAACGGCAATCTCGTTAACTCTAGACCAAACCGGGAAGGGGGGGCTCATGTAAGCAGTTAAAGTTCGACAATAAAGCAAGTTCATTTTCTTACAGATGCGTAAGCAAGGTAGTTTGCGGGAAAGACACTTGACCCCCAAGTGTAATAAAAAAGCCTTTTTATTATAAAAACCAAGGCATGGAAGCATCAGCAAATACTTAATAATTTCATCCAGGAGTGCATTGGGGGTAACGAACGTCCGCTTCTCAGGGATTCAGCCCATCCGCCACCCAGAGCGTCCTCCCTTTGGTGTCCCTTACTGACATCTATTTTGACTAACAAACCTAGAAAAATTTTCCGAATTAATTGGCAACCAATTATAGTGATTTTGAGTGACCGCGCGCGTCGAAAGAAGGCGTTTTTTGGTCAAATCTTTTTGTCAATTTTATTTTTCAAAAGCGTCGTAGTGAATCAATGATAACTGTGAAGAAAAATCGTTTATTGACTGACTGACAAGTTGCAGGTCTCGAGTTGTGAATCATCAGGAACCCTCAATCAAAACATTCAGGTAAAAAATACGGTACAAGGACATTTTCTCGTTGAGATAAAACTCAAGACAAACGAAGTTAAGTTTAAATGGTAGGATTTGATTCAAAAAATCATTAATTTTTTGTTCGGCAAATTGGCGTGCACTGTGCACTTGAAACAAGAGTGATGAAAACAAGAGTGCACTTGGATCTAACTGATTACAAAGTTTTTTCTTAAAAAATTGATCAGCTTATCCGAAAAACAAATTTTTTTGTTCATTTATCTCATCACATGCTATTCATATCAAAAAATGATTCAATTAGCGTCTTGTATCCTAGTGATAAAACCAAATGAGTTGTCTCAAACAACTAGGCACATTTTGACTCGGTGCAAACGCGTGTTATAAGAACGCAATATATCGCGCTTCATTTATACCAACAGTCTTGAAATTGATCGCAGCCGGAAAAAAATTTGATCTTCAGTTAAGGACTTGAATAGTTTTCAGATGATACTGCAAGTTCCCCCTGTCAAACATGACTAGTCGAAAAGCCGATTTTTATCAGGCAAAAAAATCAATCCGAGCACAAGTCGGAACAATCATTCAAGTTGTATCCAACAAAATACTGAAAAAAAACCCATTTGTTTTCATTTGTACTACAGTTTTTATAGTTCAAAAAAATTAATAATTGTAGTTTTGAATCGCTTTGTCCGTTCGTAGTGGAGGTTAAACAAAACTTTAAGAGTGAAAATTCTTAGATTTCAACCTGTCTCAAACAGCACAAAAATACCAAGTCCCAAGCTACCTTGCTTATTATTAAATGGTCCCCACTGGACCCTAGATTTCATTTTCCCTCGTTCAGCCATTCGCACTTTGTTGCTCTTCTTCAAGTATGAGCAAAAAGCGGCGCGCAGCGTCTTGATAAGTGCCGTCGGAATGCCAGCAATACAAACTAACAGTTGCATATCCAGCTGGCTAATCAAGAGCATAGAAAACATCATGCCGTATGGAATCGTATCCACTGTTAGCGCTTCAAAATACTTCAGTGTGATTGCTGATATGACTACTGCAACAGCTCAAAAACCAAGCAGGTCTCATTGTTTTTCCACTACTGGGATGCCACCGACGTCAGAGAGGAACTCATAGGTTTTCTTGAAACAATCGACAGCAATGCAATAACACTTGCAAAAACCAAATTGACTGGATCTCATCAGTTGGACCAGACTAGTAGACCCTTCTTGGTGTGATGGGCCAGGCATAATGTCTAATTTTCACGGCGAGCAAGCAATTATCAAAGAGCAGCACACAGCAGCCTTATATATGCACTGTGCTGCCCAGTGCCTCAAGGTAATTCTGGTCAATTCATCGAAATTCGCAGCAGTCAGACGAGCATTCACCTTGCTTTTCCAGTTTCCCGCCCTTCTGCATGGCTTAGCTAGGCAATCGGATTTCTTTTGTTCCCATATACGGAAGACAAGGCAGAGTTCCGATAGAACGGTTTTTCTCAAGATGTCTGATACAAGATTCGCAGAGTGCCTTGATGCTGTCGTAGATTTTGATTGCTCTGACGAGCTTGAAGCATATACTAGCTGCTACAAAGACCTCTGTGTTCCTCTCGAAGGCCCAGCTTTTGAACTCCTTCAAAATATAGTGCACATAACAAAATTGTGTCTTCACTGTTAGCAATGATCGGATAGTGACGGCATTGATGCTGTCAAAAAGGTGGTGTCCTACTAGAGGGTTGCAGAGGCTCATCTAAGATTACATCAGTCTACGATCATTTTAAGAAGACTATCTACCTGCAATTGATTTGAAGTGCTGTTAGACATTCAATGCTAGTTTTTAGCTGCTACCGCAACTTTCTCTTAAATGTGCAAGCTCTTTTGGGTGAAAAGGTAGTATGTAAAAATGGCTAAGAAGATGACACGTTTTAACCCCCAGCTTTTTTGGTGTGCCGTTGCAATGACCACTTTTAACCCCCTAGGGGTTAAATCTCCTATTTTTTCGGGCGCTCATGTTTTATGGGGGGTTTAAAATTGGTCAACTTTTGGGCACTCTTTGGAAACGGGCATGGTATCGAGTTTTGGTTGCTGCATATTTTCCCTTAACTTTGACAGTTCAAATTTTACCGCGCATAATATTATGTGGATTTTTTCTTAATCTTTATCACCACGTGTGGAACTATATTAAATGCTGTGATTTTGGTTAAATTATTTTTTTGTTTTGATAAGCCCCCTCACGGTTAGAGCTGATTATTTTACTTTTCGGTCCAAAAATTTTTTGGAAAAGCTTTATTTTTGAAATGAAAAGTACTATAAAGTAACCAAATCAGTGTCCGAATATTGAAAAGTTGCGTCGAAATCGTGTCGAAAGTCTTGATTCTGATGTAATGCAACTACAACAAGTAAAATTTTGCCAAATCCAGCATCGTTGCACCGATAATTGTGGGCTAATAAAGAAAAAGCTGAAGCGTTAGGTAGTAACCAGTATAGTTTTTCTTTGGAATAAAGTTTTGTATATGCTTTGGCGTGCTGCCCAATTTACCCGAAAGGTTCATTTCTCTGCTGTTTAGGGTCATATCCTCACGCAAACGTTTATGTACAAAAGGACTAGTAGTTGCTCTGTCTTCATAAATATAGTGTTTACTGACAAACGAGTTCAAGGAAACTTTGTTCGATTTTTTGATTTGTCTATTGTGATAACAGGAATTTCTCTGCGCATTATCTGACTGAAACAAGCGAACAGTAAGTCAATTTATTAATGATTAGCTCCCGTTTTGTGTATGTGGAGACGCCTTTGGTACTTTTTTCTGGTTCGAAATAAAAAGACTACCGGTTCAGTTCAAATTTTTAACAA